GGTACAAGATCGAGAGGCGGCGGCTTTTCAACTTGGACACGCGCGACCTGGTTCAAGATATCTCGAGAGTGGACTGGATAGCCAATCCTCAGATCATCGACGATGTGGCATCATAAGACCCCATCACGATCATCGAGGAGATCACTCTGGGAAAGGAAGAGGAAGCTGGAGATGGACCAGGAGGTGGCCAACAGACTGCAGCAGCCCCGCAGGGGCCTACCAATACTGACGAGACCATGGAGGAAACTAAGGAGGTGAAGCGCGGAGGCAAGAAGCACACTAAGAAATACCTGGAGCTCAAGCAGACCAAGCGGGACGACGCTCAGGACGATCGTGCTCAGCCTCGAGTGCCTGCCAGGATCCAGAGGCACATGGCGGAACGCCAGAAGGCGGAGAAAACGGCAGCAGTACCAGCAGAGGTACCGCAATATCAGCCGGCTACATCATCGTCAAGTACGCGACAGCCTGCGCAGGGCAAGCGACAGGAGCACCCAGTCGCGCTCAAGGGGTTCTTGCTGGACGATGTGCCGATCAGCATCAAACGAGCCTGGGGACAAATTGGGCCAGTCAAGCAGCTGGCAGATACATCGCTGCTCGTCGAGGCGTTCGTGGCCGAGCGGATCGGCAGCCAACCGACCAGAGCCAACAAGCATCTGCAGATCAACTTGAAGACGCTGGGCGACGACAAGCTCAAGTGGAAGAAGATGCAGCAGGCGGTGGAGAAGGAATGGAACAAGTGGTGCAAGTACGATGCAGCAACCCACATATCAGGAGCAGCAGTCGACAAGGTCGACCCGGACAAGATCCTAAGCTCCAAGGTGGTCTGGACCGACAAGGACCCCGCGACCTTCGAGCCGAAGGCCAGGATCTGTGGGAGAGGCAACGAGGAGGAGTTTGACGACAAGCTACGACGGGACCCACCCACAGTCTCAGCACAGATGACGTTACTCTTGTGCAGCATCGTATCAAGTCTCAACTTAGACCTAGTCATCGCGGATGTGAAGGGAGCCTTTCTGCAAGGCAAAGCCACCACACGCGAGCTCTACTTTCGTATCCCGACGAACCTCGGGAATTGCAACATCCCGGGAGTGAAGGCAGGCGACCTGCTGAAGTTAAACAAGAGCATCTACGGGACCAACGATGCAGCTCGTGCGTGGTATGTGGCACTACGCGAGACGCTCGGGAAGCTTGGCTGGGAAGGCCTGAGCTTCGAACCCGCGACTTTCATCAAGCGCAATGCGAAGGGCACTATCATCGGGATCATGTGCCTGCACGTGGATGACTTCCCCATGGGCATCAAGCAGGACGACCCGGAGGGCGCCAAGATCATGAAGGACCTGCAGAAGGAGATCGACTTTGGCGAGGTCAAGTTCGCGAGGAAAGAGCAGGCGACGTTCTGTGGCCGTGGCTATAAGCAGGACAAGGACGGCAGCGTCAACGTCACCATGGAGGCCTACGTGAAGTCGATGCAGACTGTGCGTATCTCCAGAGAGCGCAGCAAGGCACCAGATAGCGCCTTGACCCATGCAGAGCATCGTGGACTACGAATGGTAGTTGGACAATTGCAATGGGCTGCGCGGATGATATGCTTCGAAGAGGCCTTCGAGGCATCCCGACTGGCATCTACGCTGGGAGCTCCGACGGTGAAGGACCTACAGGACGGCAGCGCGGCCATCAGGCGGATGCAGAAGCGGGGCGACTTGCTGATCAGGTTCTCAGCAGGCCTGAACCTGTGGGAGACCATGGTGATCAATGTCACCGACAGTGCTTTCGACAATCTGCAGAAGCACAGATCACAACGCGGACACTTCATCATGCTGGGCGACCAGAAGACCAACGAGGACCACAGTAACAAGTACAAGGTACACTGCATTGGGTGGCAGTCTTCCAAGATTCAACGAGTAGTCCGATCTACTCTATCGGCGGAGGCCTACTCATGTGCGGATTCAGTGGACATGGTGATATGGGCGAGATCGACCCTGGCGGAGATCCTGTACCCGGAGATGGACATGACCGAGATTGTGCACGACACCTGCCCGGTGAAATGCATCTCGGTGACCGACTGCAAGAGCCTATACGACGCGATCACAAAGGAGAAGATTTCTATGACGGACAAGAGGCTTTCTGTGGAATCGGCTATATTGCGGCAGTCACTCAAAGAGGTCAGCATCAAGTGGGTCAAGAGTGAGCAGATGCTAGCGGGCTGTTTGACTACAGTACTTCCAGGAGGCTACGCGAGGAAGATAGTTACATCAAATTTGTGGACTCTTGGGCCTGATGACAGGGCGCCATCAATGCGCGGACGAAAGCTTGTTGGACCAGAGAAGGTGGCAGCCAACAAGGAGGTGGACGAGCTCAACGCGAAGATGGCCAAGTACGTCAAGCAGGAGCTGTACGACGACACTGGGAAGGACGACGAAGAGATCTCTTCGTGGCCGGTGGAGACGTACAACTACGTGGACGAGTGGTTCTACGACGACATGGACGAGGTTCAAGATGAGGACTACGTCGAGGCATTCTACGCGGAAGATCTAACGGACAACTACCTGATGGAGAGGAGTGGCGCGCAGAGAACCATCCAGATACCTTACCAAGCTGTAGTTCTGTTTCAACTTTGTGCACTTGCAGTGTATGGAGTTTGTCTCTCGATGTCTCCTGCGGCGGTGACAGTAGTCTCTATCATCGCGGGTATCATCATATTTATTTACGTTATGAAGCCTAAGCAGAACGACGACGAGGACATGTTTGATCCGATGGAGGTGGATAGTTCAAGCAGCGACAACCTGTTCAAGCCAGGGTTGCCCGAGAAGCGGGTCAAGGTCAAATCCAGGACGGCGAAGGCTACGCCGAAAACTACAACGACAACGCTCGCAGTGCGAGCCGATCCAGCGATCTATGACGATGAGATCATGGGAGATGGACCAATTATGTTGGGAGATCGTGCTCTACTAAGGCAGTGGCTGGAGACCATGGGACCAACGATAACCAGGTGTGGCAAGTACGAGGGCGACAGCTATGAGACGATCTATACGAAGGACAGGCACTACGCAAATTGCCTAGGACGGTGTCCCAAACTGGACGCAGACGAGAGCAGGAGTTATAATCTCGACCCGAGCATCAAAGTTTACATTGCATACAGCATCATCAAGTCAGCAGTACGTGTGCGCTGGGGATGATGATTGATTTGGGTTACCATTTCTGATGATGAGTGATGTTTGGTCACCATCTACAGATGCTGAGTGAAGGCACCCCCTCAAGAGCCCAGGTAAACATTCTTTTATCTTGATATCTGTCGCTTGATACACGGACGGTAGTTGGACCGTTCGAGCAGAGAAGATTTGATTTCTTTTATCATGATATCTGTTGCTTGGTACACGGACGGTAGCTTGACCGCTCGGGCCAATAATATTATCCAATAGTCTGGAGGCTTGCTGCATAATTTGCCAAGGCATTCTTTAGCGTTTCCTTTTCCAGTGTGAAGGTTGTATTAGCAAGGATGTGATTTATAGGATTATGTTGAGAATTGTCCATGTTATTGCTCTCGCTCGCTCATGCATTCTCTTGTTCACTATTACCATTTGTGGCTTGGACCCGCCCAGCTGTGGCGGGAGGGTGGGCGCATTCTACGACTGTCTAGCTTGACATCAGAATCAGAACAGATCACACTCTATCTATTTCTTCTTGCATCAAGGAGTTGTGGGTGGAGAGATTTGGATCATCATTTACATTTGTTTTTGTATTTCTGGTTGAATTTGTGGCCCCCCCCCCCAGCCCGACACTATGCTTCGTGCCTCCGAGTGGCTAGTGACTGTCTCTATCGGTTTCTATGATTTGGAGGGTTGGGTGAGGTTGTGAAGAGTGGTGTTTCTTGTTTGATTCGCCCACCCGTCTCCAGGAAGTATTTGCGAGCTAGCCCACGAGGCAGCTTCGGAGGGTAACGTCGCCAGTTCGTAGCACATGCGAACGTTCTCGTCCGCATTTGCTTGCTGTAGAAAAGCTCATGTCTTCGTCATTTGACCTCCCCTCTCCCGTCCTCACGCTCGCATTCGGTTGCTTTGGCGCGCGTGCGGTAGGTTCGTGCGGCGATGGCGTGCCGGCGACGCCAGCTAAGGCGTTCAAGGTTGAGGTCTGCGACGCGGAAGCACCGAGGGGCGTTGCAACGCCACTGGACCCTGTTGAATTCAACCTCGAACGATCGTGGCCGCGATCGATTCAAGGATGAACGATCGACGCGGTGTCAAAAACCAATGCGCGCGCCGACGTCGCGCGAACCTACCGTAGTGTGTGAGGTCGCTGACTAGGGCGGCTTCTCGTGGACAGCGGGGGCTGGCGGGACGAGACGGCCCACGGGAATCTTGAATTCGTCCGCGTTTTCCCCTTGCCTTTGCCTCGAGATCGTTCTCGGGACTTTGGTCCCTGCGCTTCGAATTCAATCGAGCTGTAAAAGGGCCAGCCCCGACCGTCGAACGGCATCGAGCTCGGCGCTCGCCCGGCAGTAGGGGCTTGACCACTCCTTCGTGGACAGCCGATCCGATCCCTCCCTGCCCCCCCTCCCCTCCTCCCCTCCTTCCCCTCCTCCCCTCCTCCCCTCCCCTCCTCCCCTCCCCCACTCCTTCCCTCCATCTAGGGGCGTCCTTGGCCCCCCTGGGGCCGCCGCGGCCGTTGCCGCTGCCGCCGGCGATGTCGTCGCGGCCAGCAGCCGTTGTTTCCGTCGGTGTCGTCGGCCGCCGCCAGCGTCGTAGTCTCCGCCTCCGTCGCCGCCGGGGTCGTCGTCGACTTCGCCATTCTCGTCTCCGGCGCCGTCGTCGTCGTCGTCGTCGTCGTCGTCGTCGTCGTCGTCGTCGTCGTCGTCGTCGTCGTCGTCGTCGTCGGCGTCGGCGTCGGCGTCGGCGTCGGCGTCGGCGTCGGCGTCGGCGTCGGCGTCGGCGTCGGCGTCGTCGTCGTCGCCGCCGCCGCCGCCGCCGTCGGCGTCGTCGATCGCCCAGTGGCTCGCGCGCGAGGCCCTGGCCGAGGCCAAGAAGGTGCTCCAGGCAGGCGGCGGTGTGTGCGCGTTTCCTCGCCGGCGGCGCCGTCGCCGCCGCCGTCGTCGTCGTCGTCGTCGTCGTCGTCGTCGCCGCCGCCGCCGCCGCCGCCGCTGCCGCCGCCAACTCCGCCATCGTCGGTGTCGTCGCGGGTCGTCGTCGTCGTCGTCGTCGTCGTCGGAAGAGGAGGAGAAGGAGGAGGAGGAGGAGGAGGAGGAGGAGGAGGAGGAGGAAGAGGAAAACATTGATGAGGAGGACATTGAGTATGATGAGGAGGATGAGGAGGAGGACATTAAGGAGGAGGAAGAGGAGGAGGAGCAGGACGAGGAGGAGGAGGACCACTGACGATTAGGATGGGGAGGAAGAGGATGAGGAGGAGGAGGAGGAGGAGGAGGAGGAAGAGGAAGACATTGATGAGGAGGACATTGAGTATGATGAGGAGGATGATGAGGAGGACATTAAGGAGGAGGAAGAGGAGAAGGAGGAGCAGGAGCAGAAGGAGGAGGATGAGGAGAAGACGCATGAGAAGGAGGAGCACGCAGACAGGCAGGTAGGCCAGGGAAGGCGAAGGAGAAACGATGCAGGACTGGATGGAGAGGGATGGAGGGAGGGTCGGGTAGTGGAGGGAGGAGGGTCGATGGAGGGTCTGTGGGCGGGACTGAAGAGGGTGCAGCCTCTACCTCTCTCCTGCCTCCGCCCTCTGCCAGTCTCCTTCCTCTCTCTTCCTCTCTCTCCCTCGTCCTTCCCGTCGCCCCTCCCCTCCGCTCCTCCTCCTCCCCCTCCTCTTCCGCGATGGAGGGATGAGGGATGTTGGGGGATGGAGGAGGGATGATGATGCTAATGCTGATGCTGATGCTGCTGATGATGATGTTGATGATGATGATGATGATGATGTTGATGCTTGTGATGATGACGACGGTGGAGATGATGAAGATGATTCGGATGATGACGATGATGGTGCTGATGAAGATGATTTGTTGACGATGCTGGTAGCCATGATGGTACTGCTTGTGATGATGATGATGCTGATGATGATGATTATGATGCTGGTCATGTTGATGAGACAGGTGATGGTAATGCTGATCAGGTTGATGATTACGACGACGACGACGACGACGGTGGTGATGCTATTCATGATGCTGATCATAACGAATATGATGATGATGCTGGCGATGCTGATGCCGATGATGATGCTGATGACGAATGATCCGCCACCGATGATGATGTTGATTGCTGCTGCAACTGATGAAAGGTGCTGATGCTGACGCTGATGCTGATGATGATGATGCTGATGATGATGATGCTGATGGCGATGACGATGTCGACGATCATGACGAAGATGACGACGCCGACGATTAGGATGAGGATGCTGATAATGAGACTGATGCTGCTGATGATGCTGCTGATGGTGATGATGCTGCTGCTGCTGATGCTGACGATGATGATGGTGACGAATGATGAGGATGACGAGTATGCTGCTGCTGATGCTGATGACTATGGGGACGAGGACTCTGATGATGATGATGCTGATGATGATGATGATGATGATGCTGGTGATAATGGTGATGATGGTGATGCTGCTGGCGATGATGATGGTGGTGGCGACAACGACGACGATGATGATGCTGATGATGCTGATGATGCTGATGATGCTGATTATGATGATGATGATGATGATGATGATGATGATGATGATGATGATGATTACGATGATGATGATTACGACGATGATGCTGCTGCTGATGATGATGCTGACGACGATGATGCTGCTGATGATGATGTTGATGATGATTAGACGATCACAATGACGATGATGATGATGTTGCTGCTGCTGATGATGACGATGATGCTGCTGATGACAACGACGATGACGATGACGACGATGATGATACTGATGCTGATGCTGCGGATGATGATGATGCTGATGCTGATGACGATGCTGATGCTGATGACGATAATGACGATGATGATGTTGCTGATGCTGATGCTGATGCTGATGATGATGCTGATGCTGATGATGATGATGATGATGATGATGATGATGCTGCTGATGCTGATGTGATGATGATGATGGTGGTGGTGGTGATGATGATGCTGATGATGATTGTGATGGTTGTGGTTGTGGTGGTGTTGGCGATGATGGTTATGACGATGCAAATGATGATGATGCTGATGATGGTGCTGATGATGCGGATGATGATAATGATGATGATGATGATGATGATGATGATGCTGATGATGATGGTACTGCTTGTGATGATGATGACGATGATGATGATGATGATGATGATGCTGATGATGATGCTGATGCTGATGCTGATGATGATGATGATGATGATGCTGATGATGATGATGCTGATGATGATGATGATGATGATGATGATGATGGTGCTGATGAAAGGTGCTGATGATGACGATGACGAGGATGATGATGCTGATGCTGATTATGATGACGATTCTGATGCTGATGATTGTTATGATGATGAGGATAAGCTGCTGCTGCTGATGATGATGATGATGATGATGATGATGATGATGATGATGATGATGATGATGATGATGATGATGATGCTGCTGATGATGCTGATGATGGTGATGGTGGTGGTGGTGGTGGTGGTGGTGTGGTGGTGGTGGTGGTGATGATGGTGGTGGTGGTGATGGTGATGATGCTGATTCTGATGCGCATGCTGATGCTGATGCTGATGATGATGAGGAGGAGGAGGACGACGACGATGAGGATGATGGTGAGTAGGAGTAGTAGACAATGGAGCGAGGGGGGAGGTTGGGGGCGGCACGGAAGATGGTGGAGGGGGGAGGGGGAGGAGACGGATGTATTGAGGAAGGAGGAGGAGGAGGAGAGGAGGAGGAGGAGGAGGAGGAGGGGAGGAGGAGGAGGAGAGGAGGAGGAGGAGAGGAGGAGGAGTATGAGGAGGAGGAGGAGGAGGAGGAGAGGAGGAGGGAGGAGGAGGAGGATGGAGGAGGAGGAGGAGAGGAGGAGGAGGAGGAGGAGAGGAGGAGGAGGAGGAGAGAGGGAGGAGGAGGAGGAGGAGGAGGAGGAGGGGGAGGAGGAGGAGGGAGGAGGAGGAGGAGGAGGAGGAGGGAGGAGGAGGAGGAGGAGGAGGAGGAGGAGGAGGGGAGGAGGAGGGGGAGGGGAGGGGAGGGGAAGGGGAGGAGGAGGAGGAGGAGGAGGAGAGGAGGGAGGAGAGGAGGAGGAGGAGGAGGAGGAGGAGGAGGAGGGAGGAGGAGGAGGAGGAGGAGGAGGAGGAGGAGGAGGAGGAGGAGGAGGAGGAGGAGGAGGAGGAGGAAGGAGGAGGAGAGAGGGGGGGAGGGGAGGAGGGAGGGGGAGGGGAGGGGGAGGAGGGGGAGGGAGGAGGGAGGGAGGGAGGAGGAGGAGGACGAGGAGGGGGAGGAGGAGGAGGAGCAGGAGAAGGAGGAGGAGAAGGACCAGTGTAAACCCAATAGTCATCAACGATGTTGGCCTAAACCCTCCCTCGAAGCTCCCTCTTCATAGGCCCCTACAAGGAGTCATTTCCATAGGAAACTGCATCGTTGGAAGACAAAGGTTTGAAGACCATGAAGCATGTCAAAGCATCTTTCTCGGGACTCCAGCGCTTCAACGCCGCGAAGCCATGTAACTGGCGCACCCTCATAATCCTGAGTCTTCCAACGCACCAGTTCTGGTACGTCGACAATTGGAATCCGTGAAACTATTTCAATTAAAAACGAGGTTGCGCGGCGCTAAGGCGAGAGCCACAAGTTGAAAAGGAACCGCCCTCAATCCGTGACACTCTTGCAAGCTTTGACAGCGAATGTCCGCGGCGCTAAGGCGAGAGCCGCATCTTGAAATGGAGCTGCTTTCAATCCGTGAAACTCCCGCAAATGTTTGAAACGAATGTGCGCGGCGCTAAGGCGAGGGCCACATGTTGAACACCGCCCGCCCTCAATCCTTCGAACTCTTGCAATTTTTGAAACGCATGTGCGTGGCGCTAACGCGAGAGCCACATTTTGAAAACGACCCGGTTTTTATCTGTGAAATTGTTGTTAGTTTTTTGAAGTTCCAGGGTCATTCATGGTGAGGAAGTCTCAGGCGAAACGCCTGGCCCGCCTTGTCGACCGGCTTCGGAGTGCGACAGGGAGAAGTTGTTGATAAGGAATAGGAATGGAGGAGGAGGAGGAGGAGGAGGAGGAGGAGGGGGAGGAGGAGGAGGGGGAGGAGGAGGAGGAGCAGGAGCAGGAGGAGGAGGAGGAGGAGGACCAGTGTAAACCCACGATTCATCAACGATGTTGGCCTAACCCTCCCTCAAAGCGCCCACTTCATAGGTCCCTACAAGGGTTCATTTCATCGGAGGGAACTGCCCCGTTGAAGGGCAATCGTTTGAAGACCCTGAAACGTGCGAAAACATTATTTTCGGGACTCCAACGCCACTGAACAGCCTAACTCTTGCGTCTTGAAGATCCTGAGTCGTGCCATAACGCCATTCCTAGGACTTCAACACCGCGAATCAACGTAACTGTTGCGCCCTGATACTCCTGAATCTTTCCAAAACACAATTTCTGATACGTTGACCAGGGAATCCGTGAACGTATTGTTGTTTTAAACTTGAATGTGCGCGGCGCTAAGGCGAGACCCACATTTTGAAAATGAGCCGCCCTCAGTCCGTGAAGCTCTCGCAAGTTGTGACAGCGAATGTCCGCGGCGCTAAGGCGAGCGCCACTGTGAAACAGTTGCCAATTTTTAGGTTTCAGGGTCATACGCGGTGAGGAAGTCTCAGGCGAAACGACTGGCTCGCCCTTTCGACGGGCCTCGAGATGCGACAGGGGAAAGTTGTTTATAATGACAAATAATGGAGGAGGAGGAAGAGGAGGAGGAGCAGGAGGAGGAGGAGGAGGAGGAAGAGGAGGAAGAGGAGGAGGAGGAGGAAGAGGTGAGGACGGAATTGGGGGAGGGGACGGGGAGCGAGGAATTGATGAGAGGAGAGGAGGATGAGGGTGGATGAAGGAGGGAGGAGAGCGGCGGGCCCGCCGCCGACGCCCAGGAGACGACCTCCGGGGCCGAGTCTCAGAGCTACTCCTTCGTTCAGTTGGGCGCGTCCGCGGGGCTGCGCTCAGGCGCGCGCGCGGCCGCCCTGCTTTGCGCTCGTAGGCCGTTTGTCGCCGTCGCCGTTGTCGCGCTGACATCGTGGTCGCGGTCGTCGTCGTCGTGTTCTTGGGCGGCGTGGTCGCTGCGGTGGCCGTTGACGTCACCGTCCTGGTCGTCGTCACCGTCATCGTCGTCGTCGTCGTCGTGGACGTCGTCGTCGTCGCTGTCGTCTTCGGCGTGGTCGTTGTCGTGGTCTTGGTCGTTGTGGTCGTTGTTGACGTTGTCTGGCCTCCTCCTCGTCCTCTCCCTTCTCCTCCTCCACTTGGTCGGGCTCTGGCTCAAGGAGTGCACGCTGGCCTCGCCGCGCGCGCCCGACGCCTCCCGACGCAGCGGCCGCGCGCCCGCACTGACCTGCCCGCCCAGTGCCCCCGCAACGAGTAGAGGCTGAGGAAGGGCAGCCATTGTAGTGGCGGTGGCGGCGGCGGCGGTGGTGGTGATGGTGATGGTGACGGTGGGGTGGTGGTGGTGGTAATGATGATGCTGACGATGATGACGACGACGAGGAGGAGGGTGAGGACGAGGAGGAGGAAGCGGAGACGGAGGAGGAGGGCGGCTGCTGACGCGGCCCGCGGGGCGCTCTTGGCGGCGCACGCTGCGAGCGATCTCGCGAGGGGCCGCTCCAGCACTGAGCTCGTAGCATCGCTCGGACGCCTGCACGTTTTTGGTCGGCGTGGACCACCGAAGAGCATCTAGGATCATCCTGCGATGAAGGGTAGCCGCGGTGCCCCGTCGGGGGCGCAAGCGGGCCGACGTCACCAGGCTACTGATGCATCCTTCCGGAGGTCGTGTTCAGCATCGCGCTCGACGACTTCGCGGTGAAGTTCTTCATTGTGAAGAGCTTCGCTTGATCAGCCTGCTACGGGGCAGGCTTTGGCCGATGCCATACCGCCTTTTCGTTTTCCTGTTTATTAGTTGTTGTTATGGTTTTTGTTGTTATTCTTGTACTTTTTATTTATTATTATTATTATTGTTGTTATGTTATTATTCTTCTTTTTCTTCCTCCTCCTCCTTCCTCCCCACTGCCTTTCTTCTTTCCTCTTCCCTCTCCTCGCCCGCTTCCATGCCCCTGCTTTTCCTCCAGGGCGCTACGGTGAGTGGCGGTCCACTTTCCCGCCGCTAGGGCCAGCTCCGCTCTACTGCTCTGGTTTGCTGTGCCTTCCCGGCTAGCTCTGCCTAGCATGCCCCGTCCCCACTCTGGGTGGGATATCAATCGAGGGGTGGGTGACTAAATCTTCCGACGGAGCTTGCCCACCCCCCTCCCCCACCTCCTCCTCCTTCTCCTCCTCCTCCTCTCCTCCTCCCCCTCCTCCTCCTCCTCCTCCTCCTCTCCTCCTCCTCCTCCTCCTCCACCCCCCCTCCGCCCATTCCGACAGCACGTGCCCAACCCCCCCAGCGGATCCAAGGGGGGGGCGATTATTGCCCCATCCAGAGTAGCATCCCTCCTTCCCAGTTGTCCTTTCCGTTACTCTGCGCCGCTGAGACTGCAAGCGCACCGTGATCCAGCAGAGGCATGGCCTCCCGAATGGACGCGGGCACCAGTCTCAAGCTAGGGCTCCGAGCGCCTCCACGGAACCGCCCCCCCCCCCCCCCTTTGACCCAGCTAGCGCCCAGCAGCCGCCGATCACGAGCCGCCGACGACAATTCACGCCCGACGCCCGCCCCCGTCCGCCCGTTCGTGCCTGCTTACGCTGCGCTGCCCCTGGCGCTCCCCTCCCTCCTCTTCGCTCGTCGCTCTTGCGCAGTGTTTTTTCCACTTTTCCCTCGTCCTCTTCGTCCTCCTCCCCCTCCTGCTCCTCCTCCGCCTCCGTCCTCCTGCTCCTCTTCCGCCTCCTCTTTCTCCATGTTTTCTCTTACACATAGGCTTCCCCCCTCGCGCCCCCAGACTTGTCGACAGGGCGGGTTTCACTGGAGACCCCGTCACCATTATGACCCTGAGGCTTGGCATGTTTACAACAGTTACAAGGATGAAGGGCGGTCGTTTTCAATATGTGGCTGTCGCTTCAGCGCTGCTCGCATCCCTCTTATTAAACTCTTGCATCCCTTTCAAGGATGGAGGGCGAGTTGTTTTCAAAAGGTGGTTCTCGCCTTTTCGCCGCGCGCATTCGCTTTCACAGTTTGCAGCAGCTTCGAGGATGGAGGGCGGGCTGTTTTCAACATGTGGCTCTCGCATTAGCGCCGCGCGCCGTCGTCGTAAACACATGCAGCAATTGCAAGGAAGGATGGCGGTTCCTTTTCAAATTTTGGCTCTCGCCTTAGCGTCACGCGCGTTCATATCAAACGTTTGCAGCAGTTTGAAGGGGTTGTACGGTTGAATTCTTTACGCTTCGCGTATCCCCACCAGCCCATCTCACAGCAGCGACTCTCGGGAAGCATGCCGACAGTCGTGTTTTTCAGGCGTGTGTCCGCTTGGCCCCGCATATCTCCCCTGTTCCTCCTTCCTCCCGCCTCCTTGTACATCCTCCTTGTGGGGGGAGCGGGAGAAGGACGAGGCGGAGGAGGAGGGAGAGAAAGCGCTCCTCGTGATTTGAGTCGTTTGGGGTTTCTCGTCCTGGTGTGAGTCGTTCGGGCCCTTCTTCCTGGTGTGAGTCGTTCGGGCTCTTCGTGGTGTGAGTCGTTCGGGCTCTTCGTCCTGATGTGAGTCGTTCGGGCTTCTCGTGGTGTGAGTTGTTCGGGCCCCTCGTCCTGGTGTAAGTCGTTCGGGCCCCTCCTCCTGGTGTGACTCGTTCGGGCTCCTCGTGGTGTGAGTCGTTCGGGGCCCTGCAGCAATTTCAAGGAAGGATGGCGGTTCCTTTTCAAATTTTGGCTCTCGCCTTAGCGTCACGCGCGTTCATATCAAACGTTTGCAGCAGTTTGAAGGGGTCGTACGGTTGAATTCCCAGGAATGGTGTTCTGGCGCGGTTTAAGAGTGTCAGGACGCAGCGGTCACATTGACTCGCGGAGGTGAAAGCCCAGGAGCGGTGTTTTGGTACGATCGGGTATTCTCAAGGCGCAATTGTCAGTTGATTCGTGGTGTTGAAGTCCAAGGATATGCTATTGTGGCACGATTTGGGATCCTCAGACGGTCGTCTTTCAATGGGGGACTTACCGCAACGATAGAGAACTTTTGTAGGGGCCTATGAAGAGGGAGCTTGGAGGGTGGGTTTAATGCAACATACTGGATGCGTCTTGGGTCAGCAATGGTCCTCCTCCTCCTCCTCTTCGGAGGAGGAGGAGGAGGAGGAGGGTCAGCCAGGCGGGTGCTCGCCCAGCGGCATCTGGCCGCGCTGAGCTGCTCGTGGGCCGAGCCAGGCTGTCGTTCGGCAGCGCGCGGGGGGCCAGGGGCACGCGTCCCCTTCGTCGCCTCCTCCTCCTCCCCCGCCTCTCCCTCCCTGCGCCGCGCCGTGGCCTGGCAGCGCGAAAGCTGCCGGGTGCGGCCAGCAGGGGCTTGCTTCCCCCTCTGTCTGGGTCAGCGGTGGCGGCGCGCATGCCGGAGGGCATTGTGGACATCCGTGGCCCTGGCGTTTTCGGAGAGGCGCTGGTGAGTGCCGGTCTCCCCCCTGCGAGGGCTGCCTCCCTCCCTTTCGCCATGCTCTGCCTAACGCGACTCCCCAGTCACAGCCAGCACTGGCTAGCCTGCTATGTACTGTCACTGTGTCTCAATGGGGACTGAGGTGCGTAGCGGCCCCCCCTCTCGTCTAGGGCCATGTCCTTCGCTTTTTCCCTGGCCGGGTCAGCTCTGCAAACCTCGTCCCGTCGCGTTTTCCTCCCACCTATTTCTTCTCTGTTCCTCCTTATTCAGAACCCCCCAGCCCCTGGCTAGTAGCTCTGCCAACCATGGTTCATCCCGTCTCCATTTCCTCCCACGTACGACGCCTCGCGTCAGTTCTCCCCAGCGCAGCGAAGGGCAAGGTCTCCTCTCTCACCCATCTTCCCTCCGCCTCGCCTCGCCGTCGTCGTTCTCCTCTTCCGTCCCCCTCTGGCCCTGTAGTGCCGATCCAGAGGACGAATCGGAGGGCCCGGGCATGCGGTGGCGAAAGCGGTCCTCTGCGCCACCCGTCTCTGCCCTGGCATGTGCGCGCGTGCGCGCGCGCGCGTGCGTCGGTGCGTGCGTGCGTGCGTGCGTGCGTGCGTGCGTGTGTGCGTGCGCGCGCGCGCGCGCGCGCGCGCGTGTGTGTGTGTGTGTGTGTGTGTGTGTGTGTGTGTGTGTGTCTGTGTCTGTGTTTGTGTGTGTGTGTGTGTGTGTGTGTCTGTGTTTGTGTTTGTGTGTGTGTGTGTCGTGTCGTGCAGTTGCCGCTCCTCCTCCCCTCCCGCTCCCCTCCCGCTCCCCTTCCCTCCCCGCCTGACGGGGGCCGAGGCGGAGGCCTTGCGGGCTGGCTGGCCCCGACCTCCTTCCTGCTTAGGCTGCCCTCCCCTTGCGTGCCGAATCAGATCGAGCCTTTCTCGGTCGTCGGCGGCCTCCCCTCCCCTCTGCGCGCAGGCGTGGACCTGGCGCGCCTCGAGGCTCTCCGCTTCGTGCAGGGTCTGGCGCGCGCCCCCAGCCCATGCAGTCGTCGCCGCCGCTGGGGCCGCCGTCGCCAGCAGCCGCCGTCGTCATCGTCGACATCGCCGTCGTCGTCGCGCCGTCCTCGCCGTCTCTTTGACACCGTCGTCGTCGTGGCCGTAATCGTCGTCCTCTCCGTTGGCGTCCTCGGTTGACGTCGCCGTGGACGTCCGCGGTCGTGGTCGTCGCCGTCGTCGTGGTCGTTATCGTCGTCCTCGTCGCTGACGTCCTCGTGAGTGTCGTCGTGGACGTCGTCGTGGTCGTTGTCGGCGGCGCCAGCGTCGTGGTTGTGTTCGCTGTTGCTGTCGTAGTCTTTGTCGTTTTCGGCGTCGTCGTCGGCATTTGGCAGAGGAGGGGGATGAGGACCAGGCGGAGGAGGAGTAGGAGGAGGAGGAGTAGGAGGAGGAGGAGGTGGGGGAGGATGCCGAGGAAGGGTGATTCGAGCGTCGTATGCCCGGCCGTGCGTGGGCAGCATCGTGGCTAGGCTGGTGTATGCAAGGCGTGCTTCAATCTGCGGCCGTTTGTTATGTGAGCAGAAGCAGCGTCTGCGACGTTCGGATCGCAGGATGATGATGATGCTGCTGATGCTGATGATGCTGATGATGCTGCTGATGATGATGCTGATGCTGATGATGATGCTGATGCTGATGATGATGCTGATGATGCTGCTGCTGTTGATGCTGATGATGCTGATGATGCTGATGATGCTGATGATGATGCTGCTGCTGATGATACTGCTGATGGTGAGTGATGATGAGGTTGCTGATGGTAATGAGGAGGACGATGCACCTGATGATGATGAGGATGATGATGTTGATGATGCGGAGGATGATGATGACGATGATTAGGTTGATGATGATGATGATGATGATGATGATGATGATGATGCTGATGATGATGATGATAACGATGCTGATGATGACCATGGTGATGATGACGATGATGCTGACGATGGTAACACTGCTGCTGCTGATGATGATGATAATGATGGATTAAACATCAGCATAGACCCGAGGCACCATCCACGTTGTAATACACCCTCCGTCCAAGTACATCCTTTCTAGGTCCCAGAAATAACTAATTTTCATTGCGGGACGTGGCCCATTGGAAGACGACCGCTTGATATTCTTGACTTGTTCCACAACAAAACGTCCAAAGACTGGAGCCCCGCTAATCAACCTGACTGTTGCGTCTTGACACTCCTGAATCGTGCCAGACGCCGTTCCTGGGACATCAACACACCGCGAATCAACGTGACGGTTGCGTCCTGACGATCCTGAACCCTACGTACACCGTGCCAGAACACCAGTCCTGTGACTTCAACTTTTCGGATCCTTGAAACGGTTGCGATTCGTATGACAGGTGCGCGCGGCGCTGAGGCGAGAGCCACATTTTGAAGCCGACTCGCCCGCCGCCCTTGAATTCGTTATAGATCTTTAAGACGAATATACGTGGCGCTAAGGCGGAAACCACATTTTGCAGACGACCCGCGGTCCATCCTTGTAACTGTCGCAGGTTTCGAGTGTAGTCTCAGGAACGCCATGCCCGCCTTACGGACAAGTGTGGGGGGAGTGCGACACGACGTTGTTTGTAAGGAAATGGGATGGGGGGAGACGAGGGGGCGGGGCGGGATCATCAAGAGGCGGATGAGGATGAGTAGCAAGTAAGGGGGGAGGTGATGATGAGGACGACGACGACGATGAAGGGGGGGGGGGAGAGTGATGGAACAGGAAGACGAGGGACGGAGGGAGGGAAGGAGGGATGATGATAATGCGGGGGACGAACATGGGGAGGAGAAGGAGGAGGCGGAGGAGGAGTTTGGGGATAAGGGGGATGGAGAGAAGAGGGATAAGGATTATGAGGGTGATGGGGATGATGGGGATGATGGGGATAAGGATGATGCTGATGCTGATGATGCTGATGGTGATGGTAATGACGATGAAGATGACGATGGACATGCTGCTGATGATGAGAATGTTGCTGATTATGTTGGCGGTACTATGATGCTTATGTTAAC